AAGTTTAATTATCCTTCTATTAGAACTAAAGATTAGGGAATTAAGAACGACAGACATTTTTTTTTCAACAAGCTTCGTACCTTCTTTCAGATCGTTCTCTTCATTCTTAACTACTTTTCTTTTCTTTTTTTTTATTCAATTTTTGTTTTCTCGTAGTTGTTTGTGGCGGGGATGGTGTTGGCGCTGTTCCAGTTGCTATATTCTGCTTTATTTATTTATTTACTTATTTACTTAGTTATTTATTTATTCACGTGCATATTTCTTTCTTTTCGATTTTTCAACCTATTTTTGTGTTGTGTTCATTTTTCGTTCACTTTTTTAATTTCATTCAGGGCTTTTTACATTCTTGTTTGTTCCTAGTTTTTCATTTCATTCTTTTTTTTTTTTAATTGTCCACATTCATTTTCCTTTTTTAATTGTCCACATTCATTTTCCTTTTTTAATTGTCCACATTCATTTTCCTTTTTTAATTGTCCACATTCATTTTTCTTTTTTAATCGTCCACATTCATTTTTCTTTCACTCCGTTTTCTTTCTTTCTTTGTTTTATTTTCATTTTCGTTCTCTTAACATTTTTAAAAAAATTTCGTTCAGATGTTGTTACATTTTTGTTCGTTCGTAGTTTTTCATTTCATTTTTTCTTTTTTCGATAGTCGAGGTTAATTTTTTTCTCATTCCATTTTCTTTCTTTTTTATTTTCTTTCCTTTCTTCTTCAACATCATTTTTCGTTCACTTGCCTTTTATAAATTTTTTTTTGTGTTTTCAATTCTTATTTATTTTCATTTCCTTTAAGCATTTTCTTTTTTCATTTGTTCAATTCATTTTCTTTCTTTTTCTTTCTTTCTTTCTCCCTCTTTCCTTTTTCTTTCTTTTTATTTTTATTTTCTTTCTTTCTTCTCCTTTAGATTAAAAAAAAAAATTCCTTTCTTGTTCGACTTCATTTTCTTACTTTTTCCTTTCGCTGAGTTGTTTTGAATTATTGTACATATATTTCTTCATTCTTTTCTTCTTTTTTTCACTAGTCCAGTTCTATCATTCTCTCTCTCTCTCTCTCTCTCTCTCTGGTTTTCTTCTTTCTTCCATTGCTGATTTCCGTGTCCTCTATTTCATTACCTAATTTTTTCCTTTCTTTTACTCATCATAACCAGTGTTAATATTACCTAAACCACATTTAGTTCATTGTAAATCATTCATTAGAGTTGGAAACTTCTCTTGAACGACGACATACGAATTTTTTAACTTAGCCGCTGTTGACTTAGCTTAGTACAAAGCCATCAATGTGAAGCGTCCAGTGAGAATTCCCCACAGCAGAACAGAAATGGTTTGACAGGAGGTGTTGTTACTCATCTCACTGCAATAGCTAGTATTTATTAAGAATAGTTTTGTTTAAAAAACAAATACATTGTGGAGTTTTAAATGAGAGTTTGCAAGCCTGAATTGTTAAGCGGATTGGTTAACAAGTTAGGCTTGCTTTGGTGAGCGACCAAATCATGAATATAGTGACTCTTGTTGGAGATTTAATACCAGCAAAACTAATTCAAATCTCCAGGTCTCTTCTCGGGTCTCTTATTCATTTCGGAGAGCTGTACATTTTCCTCGCTTTTGAAGAGAAGACAGGATGCAACAAACATTTGCTTGTACAGAGGTATTCTGTGGATATCATGGACGGAACGCATAAGCAATGAAATAGAAATAAAAAGGACAACTTATATTTCTTGTAACCTTGGAAAACATTACTGATTAAGAATAACCAAAACAAAGATTGGAATTAAACGATAATATTTATAACAGAAACAACATACAAAATTCACCAGCGGTGTGTGATAAGTATACAACTGGTAGTGGCGAGCTAGAAGTCAATCAATTTGTATCTCAGGGAATTCCAATGACGATATTCACTAACCGCCTCACGTGGTCGGATGTGGCCCAATGCCGAGTTTATTGCGGGGTATCTGAGTCCGTAGGCCCAACCAAAAATTCTCCGTAGACCTCGTAAAAAACTGGGTGGGGTAGCTGTCTTCCCAGACGGGATTCTGTTCTTCGACATAGCCTCGTCTGGGGATCCTCTCTGTCCGGAGGCAGAGAGTTTGAGCATCACACTTGGAAGTGAATTTTAATGACGATATTCACTAACCTCCCCACACAGGTCAGATGTGGCACAAGGCCAAATTATTGTGGAGTGAACTGAGCCCGTTGGCTCAGCCAAAAATTCCGCGTAGACCGCGTAAAAAACTGGGTGGGGTAGCTGTCTTAGACGAGATTCTGCTCTTCGACATAGCCTCGTCTGGGGATCCTCTCTGCCCAGAGGCCGAGAGATTGACCAGTATACATGGAAATGAATTCCACTGACGACCACATACAGTATATTCCACTGTATTTATACAGATTGGAAATACCCATTATAGTCCATTGGTACGGTATAACAATATTCAGCATCAGAAAAAGACAAATGGACACGTAATGAGGAATGAGGACTTGGAGAATTTGACATTTATAAGAGATATCGAAGGCAAAGCGGAAAGGGAGAAGCAACGCGTTACCTATCTGATCAGCTTCTCCGTAAGGATGGGGGAACACGGAGTGACAAAAAAAGACAAACGCTAATAAGAGTTAAAAAGTTGTAAAGAATAATGTTGCCATTTTAATGGCGGTGATCCATCCTCTGTTTTGTAATCCAAATTTTTCAGGCAATTCAGATAATGATTTTATAGTGAGGTTTTTTAAATTTCTTTCGGGCGTATGCTGGTCGAGCGTCTCCTGGTATATTTATCCCACAACAATAATGGCAGACTTGGAATGTGAGCCGGGAATAAAATGACAAAATAAAATATATATATATATATATATATATATATATATATATATATATATATATATATATATATATATATATATATATAACTACATCCGACAGCAAGACCTCTGATCTGAGTTTGAGGTTTTCTGGAGCATGGAAACACCGGTTGAATGCTGTTGTCCCTGCTGTTTGGGTGGTAGTACCTGTTAGGGTTTCATGTATTGGCAAATAGTGAACAACCAAACCAAACACTGTGAAAATATATAAAAATAAATTTTTATAGTAAAAATACTAGGAACTTTTATATAAAAAAAAATTAGCAACAATATATATTTGTAGTAAAATTACCAAATTATTTCAAAGCTTTCAAAAAAAAATTAAATTTAAGCATTAATTGAACCATAAGGTGTTGCTATGTCGTTAAACAAACAAATCAATCAATCGATCATCACCGAGCAGACATGTTTGCCTATCGCTATCAATGAGTGTTCCCTTAAGGACACTCCATTACCTTGAATACGTATTGGGACTAAAATTCATTTCAGACCTCAAGTGGAACTTATATATATATATATATATATATATATATATATATAACGCACAGGGGTCAGTAAAACATTAAAACATTAAAAGATAAAATGCCGATAAGTAATTCATCATTTCTCTTGGACCACCCTTAATTGTTTTATAACCCTTCGCGAAGAACTCTTCATTGCCAATTCAAGAAAGACATTCGGATTGCTAACACAAAAACAGAGAATGTCTCATATCGAGAATATTCAACATTGAAAAACATAAAGAAAAAATTAATTATTTTTAATAATATGCGGAAATCTCCGCTTTTACCTGAAGAAGGTCACGAGATCAGAAACTCGTGTAGTAAAATTATGGAAAATAAAGCATAATATTTTTTTCTAAAAAAAACACTTAACAACCAGAAACGCTTGCGGCACCTTTCTTCTCTTCTTTTTAATATGCATACTTTTCTCTCGTTGAAACCACTAAAACCTCTTTCTTTTCTATATATATATATATATATATATATATATATATATATATATATATATATATATAGTGAATGTTGAACAATTTCCTTTCACACACACACACACACACATATATATATATATATATATATATATATATATATATATAAAATCTGTAAATACATATATATATATATATATATATATATATATATATATATATATATATATATATATATATATATATACATTTCAAGAGGATAGAATCCAGGTAGAAGTCAATGTCCAGGACAGAGTAAGAACCATGGAATATTAGTGTTTAATATATATATATATATATATATATATATATATATATATATATATATATATATATATATATACATATTGATTATTTCATCCCAAAAGAAAAAAGACTACGATTAAGAAGAGAGGGCAATAAAAGAACAAGAATTAAGAAAACAAAAGATAATTTGTTGACTGGGAAGCAAGATGCCAAAAGTTAGAATTGCGCTAGAATAATCTGCTAGCATAGAACTTACGGTCACCTTTAGCCATTTCAAATGAAAAATTATGAGACCTTGCTATCAATCTAGTATTGCGCTTAAATACGACCCATTGCTAAAGATGGGAAAATAGTCAGTCTCTTGTAGCGCCCCTTAATTACCTGACACCTCCTGCTATACTCTGTTTTTACAAGAGCCAGTACAGGTCGAAAATGGAGTACTCTTGCCATATCTGGGTTGAAGCGGACCAGTCTTCATTCTCCAGCCTTGACGTTCCAGTCTTTACAGATTTCAAAAGCATCTACAGAAATTTGTTGGTGCTGAGTGACCAGCATACATGGAAATGAATTCCACTGACGACCACATACAGTATATTCCACTGTATTTATACAGATTGGAAATACCCATTATAGTCCATTGGTACGGTATAACAATATTCAGCATCAGAAAAAGACAAATGGACACGTAATGAGGAATGAGGACTTGGAGAATTTGACATTTATAAGAGATATCCCACGGACGAAATTTTCGCTACCCAATCGCTTTTCTTGACGAGCGACATTCCGCAGTTCTGCCAGTGACAATCTTGATATATTATGCATATTAAAACGAACAACCATCATTTCCTTCGTATTCTCTTAGTAAGGAAAAAATTTCACCCAGAGGACGTCTTCACACGAACTGCTACTTTGTTGAACAGACTTCCGATAGGATGCTTTTCCGATCACTACAAAAATAGCCTTTTAAAGTCTAAGGTTAACTATTATTTTTTCTACATATCCTAATAAGCTGCATTTCTTACCTCTTAATCTTACCTTTCATACACAATATCATTCAGTAATTCTCTCCCTTGAATGGCTGTTAGGCCTGTGAACATTCATAATATATATATATATATATATATATATATATATATATATATATATATATATATATATTATATTAAAAATGAATGAAAGAAGCAGGAAAGACGAAAAATAGAAAGAAGGAAAAAGAAAGAAAAAGTGGATACTCGTATTTGAGTAGAGGCTCAGTTTAATATGAAATTAGTTATGTCGTCTACCGACCTGCATATAGAAAATAAATAATGACAAATACAACATTGCTTAAATGTCTTCGTAGCCGGGCAGTTAAAGTACGCCGAATCATACTTTCTCCTGCAAGAAAAAAAAACACGCTCGAATTCTGCTTGAGGGCACATTTTCTTTAATACGTTTGCTCGAGTGTGCAGGTACGAAGACGAAATGAAACCGGTTTAAAATAAAACAGAGCGTCTACTCAAATATGGGTATCCCCTAAGTAATAACGTTTGAAGTATTAAACATTAAAAATATGTACGTGTGTGTGTGTGTGTGTGTGTGTGTGTGTGTGTGTGTGTGTGTGTGTGTGTGTGTGTGTGTGTGTGTGTGGCACTGTTGTCTTTCGGGACGGTAAGAAAATGGATATAGGTGTTGGATAAACGTGTGCATCTGTTATATAATGCTCGTGAATCCCTAGACTTAATCCATGCCTTCGTTTTTTACAAATAATTAATTAGCAAAATCATCATTAATTAATTAATTATTCTGTTTTATTCTAACATTTATTATCGGTTTTATTCTATCATTGCGATTATATTTTCATATATTTTCCAAATTATTCATTATGAAAATTATATATTTATATATAATAATAATAATAATAATAATAATAATAATAATAATAATAATTCTGCTTCCCCTTCCTTCATTTTTTTAGTTATTTCCTTAGTTAGTTTGCACGACTCTTACACCCTGCCAATAGCTAATAAATTATGGAACATTCTATTTTAACCGCGTGAAAATATGGAACTGACGTATTAGTGATGCAAATTAGTTTCAGTGAGAAAATGAATGAAAGAAAAAAAAAGAGGAGGTCAGTTATGTGCCTTGCGTAATACACGCTTAGGCGATCATGTATCTTTTGATACATGACTGACGAGACATGTTGGCATTTCTCTTTGCGGTAGATCAGTTGCCATCAAAAGCTACAGAACCCGGTCTGTCCTACTATTTACCCATAGCTGGGGGGAGAAGTGGAGGATTCATACCTTTCCCAACGGTATTAGCATCCAATGTAATGGAATTCGACAGGAATTCGAACTCGGCTCTCCGATTCCTCAATCCGAGCCGCTATCCATTACTCCACCGTATATATTGAATGTCTCCCGCGAATACCTCAGAAACAATGGACTATTCCGTTTTGATTGCATGAAAAGACATCTCAAAGATTTCGGTCAGAAAGGAGGGAAGATAGACGTGTTTAAAGTCTGTTTCATTGAAATGGAAAAAGTTATCAATTTCAAATCTTTTCATTTGTACCCCCTTACTTCTTAAAATAAAGACCAGCATTCATATCTATGATTGTTATTGCAATATTTTGTTAAAGTTGTCAAGCTCGAATATTTAACAATGCGATAGGGGAATTTCTACAGAGATTTTTTATTATCGTAGAACACTCCATAAGCTTATTCAATCATTAACTTAAGAATTAAGATTCATCAGAAAATTAAAATAGAAAAACTGTGCCCTCCCTTCTTTAGTTAGTCCTTTAGTTAGTTTGCACGACCTTTACGCTTTGAAATTACTATTGTATTCAAGTGATTTAGTATTGTCGTCTCATATAGTACGCCGTATCATGGAAACGGATCTCTATTATTTAGCGAGATTTTTTGTTTAAAGCATCAGCTCATTTTAGAGCCATGAAGACACTACATTTAACGATCTTTTCTCTAAGTTCTGGACAGATGTTCATATTTACATACATTTTAAGATGGAAAAAAACGACTTTTGATATAACTGACTAATGTGGCATTTCATTGCTACTTTATAGCTTGTATTGAATGTTTTGTTTCCCGCACTTCCGGTGTATCAGATACTTAAAACATAAGTGTTAAAATATTATTTACATATTATTGTACATAAATTATTTCGAAGTGCATTAAATGCTTAAGACCGAAGTGGATTAAAAAAACATATGACTGCCATTTGAATATATATGCTACTGTTAATATTCATGATTGTACCCTGCTGTCAAAAAAAAATCAAAAAAAATCAAAGAAATATATTTAGGAAAGAATATAATTGTAATTATGTTATAAAACGCTCATTCATTTCTTCTTCCCACAAATATGGGTAAATAGCACAGTAGACTGGGGTCTAAAGCTTTGGGCGACAACGGGTCTAGAAGAAGGGCAACTGTGGATTCAAACCAGCTTGGTTGGGCTCCATCAGGCTATCTTAGCCAAGACAAAACCACTTCTGCGGCTGCAGTACATGTGGTACCCCGATGTCTCTGTTGCAGAATTCGTAATCGTGAATCATCCAGATTCACGATCAGGAGTCCCGTAACTTAATTTGTAATGTTAAAAATGATTATTTCAGATCGCAGTGTTAATTAGACGACTCTACATATTTTCAAAATAATAATTTATTCTGTTCGCCTTTATTTGTCTATCCATCTTCTATTTACCTTAGAATTCGTATCTATGTTTCAGTCTATCATATATCACATATTCATATCGACTGGCCTACCTGTGGTCGACTGTTTTTTATCTGTTTCTCCATCTCTTTTTTTTAGTATACCACACTCTGTACGCTGATAATGCCGTCGGCTTCATCCTACCCCACTGTTAAATTAATCAGTACATAAAACATCCCCAATTAAACTCTAAGAGTTTTCCACGCACAAGTTTTTCACTTGCCCTAACGTATTGTCGTGAACAACGTTTTTGTCAAAAAAGCATGCTGACCTTTCCTAATTTGACACCGGAATTGGGTTTGAAATGAAGTTATATTGCTTGGGGGGTCATCCATATTTTGAGCTGATGCGGATTTGTGACTATTGAATGAAAGAAAGAAAGAAAGATGTAATAAAAAGAAAAACGAAAAATAGAAAGAAGGAAAAAGAAAGAAAAAGAGAAATAAAAAAGAGAACAAGAACAGAAAAGAAAGAACGAAGAAAAAATACGAATGGAAAAGTGAAAAAAAAATCGTAAAGAGAGAGAGAGAGAGAGAGAGAGAGAGAGAGAGAGGAAAAGAAAGCAAAAGGAAGATAAAAGGAAAAGAAAGAGAGAACGATGAAATAAATAAATAAATAGATAAATAAATAAAGAAAGAAAGAAAGAAAGAAAGAAAGAAATAAGAACGTGAATGAATGGAAAAAGTGAAAAAGGAAGATAAATAGTACAAAAAAGTAATAAGAATGGGAGATAAAAGAACCCCTAAAGAAAAGAAAAGAAAAAGAAAAGAGAAAGAATAAAAAAATGAAAGAAAGAAAGAAAGAAAAGAGAAAGAATAAAAAATGAAAGAAAGAAAGAAAGAAAAGAGAAAGAATAAAAAATGAAAGAAAGAAAGAAAGAAAAGAGAAAGAATAAAAAAATGAAAGAAAGAAAGAAAGAAAAGAGAAAGAATAAAAAAATGAAAGAAAGAAAGAAAAGAGAAAGAATAAAAAAATGAAAGAAAACTGGAAACTAAATTTACAAACATAAAAGAAGAAACAAATGTCGAAAGTAAACAATAGTAAAAAAAAAAATAAACCCCAAATAAAAAAAAAATGTTAAAAATGCAGGAAGAAAGAAAACAACGAGAAAATGAAGAAAAATTTATGAAAGAAGTAAGAAAGAAAAAAAGCAAAATATACATTGAAAATGAAAATAAAATGAAAACGTACATAAATCTCGAAGGAAAATAAATAAAAAAGAAAGAAAAGATTGAATAATGAGAAAGTAAAGAAAAATGTTGAATGAAATCAATTTAAGTGGGAATGATAAAGAATAAAACTAGCATCAATAATGAATAAAACTATATAAAAAAAAATTGAATTATGAAATAAGTTTGTCAAAAGATATAAAAAGAGACCATCTTTTTATACTAAATAAAAACGCCCAGAAAATGCCCGATGATGGAACAAAAGATAAGAACGAGAAAGAAAAAATATCGATCAAAAATTGAAATAAAACGGGCAAAAGACAAGAAGGAAGATGCACAAAAGAAAATGAAAAAAAAAAATGAATTTTAAAAGGTTAAACAAAAAATAAAAATAATCTGAAAGAAAGATTATAAGAATGAATGAATAATAAAATTAAACGAATAAGAAATTAAAAAAAAACAAAAAAAAAACAGAATCAACGAGATTAAATTCATTCATTACTTATTTCATCCGATCTTACTTTTTGGCATCCTTCCTTCATTATATGGGAAATTACTTGGTAAAGGTCGGAAGGTCCCGCGATCGAATCCATTGTCATCCACTCAAAATACGAGTGGCACGGCTTATCTTTTTCAGAAAATAATGATGTTTAGTGTCACCTCTCTGGGATCGAGACGTGGCCACCTAGCCTCTAGTCATATGCCTCTTCAATCTGTAACGTGGCCATTTACATGTAGTAGCTTTTTTGTTAGGGGATGGGGGCAATTCGTTACCCAATTGTAGCAGCGGTCAGTCTTAATATATACGAGATGCTAACATGCAGGCAGTGTAAATATCTACAGACAAAATTGACTGGTTAATTGATATCATGATGTCTTCAGTTCTCTTCGGAACAGTCATGGCCATCCACAACATCCTATGCATTGTAGTGCTAAGTAATGTTTGTTTCCTTACTATCTATCTCCATTCCTGTTCTGTCATCCAGGCTCCTTAGGTAGTTTACTCAGTGTTTTTATCTGTTCTATTTGTCTTCAACATGTCCT